GTTTATCTATTTAGCATTCTTAAAAATTTAATGAAATAATAAATTATGTCGATGTTACCTATAATGTTAGATACAATCGATTTCTTTTGCAATGTTTTCAGTAACTTTTTCGTTCCCTTAAGTATAAGAGATTCCGACATTTCTGAATGAAGTTTCTCCTCCCTGCCTTCTATCATGTTCAAGATTTCCCTCAAGTAATGCAGAGGTGATCTCACATCGCTGATTTCATCTAGAATACATTGGTTTCTGTCTTTGATGACCACCTGAGTTGAACCAACAGGAACCTCGTTCACATATACCGTAACTGTCCTCTTACCATAGTCACAATTGTCTGAAGACATAGAGAGAGATCGAGATATGTGAATTTATATCAATATGTCCCGAATACCCCAAATGATATGAAATTTACAAATTGAATATAGAATAAGTGTTGTGTATTTCAAATCGACTAGGATTTTATTCTGAATACTGAAATGTCCACTACATTAACAGGCCTTTTTCACTATAATTATTCAAAAATTAAGGAGAGAATCCATTTGAGCAAAATGTAAGGCCATGTGTTTTTATACAGCATTTTGTGTAAGTCAGCTGAATGTCGAAGTCATAAGCAACATGTCAAATATATTAAGTTTCACAAAAAGTATCAACATGCTCTTCATGACAAACTAGTTGTATGTTACACTAGTGTGTAGGGTGCCTTTAAAGAGATATGCTTACCAGCAAATTTGAATCTAGATGTATATGGATTAAGCCAAGTGACTTCAAATAAACGATTATCTGTCTCTACCATTACTTTGTCTTCGACTGATCTTTCGGAATTGAATGAAATGATCACATCTTGGTCTTGCTAGAATTTAAAACCATAAATCGATATAATTATTATTTAGTATAATCCAGTATCTAAAGTTCATTTTATTTTGGCTTAATAATCTGTGGCACTTCTTTTAAAAAATGTATATAATAAAAAGTAAATGCATATTCATTTTACAAAAATTTGGAGGCTTATAAATAAGAGGGTGTCATCTTCGTTAGCCAAGGGTTTCTGGTCCTCTTGTCTTCTTACAAGCAGCCCTTGGCTAGTGAAGAATCTCTGATATCAATATCAGTAACAATTTTGTCACAATTACAAAAAAAGAAATGTCTGTTTATTCTTTTTAAGGATTGACTTTATGGTAACACTCTACCTTCCATGTTGTATCTGGGTAAAGCGTAAATTCAGATAAAAGACAAAACTCAGGATCCGCCTCCTCATTTTCTGCATCTATGAGTTCTAAAATTTGAAGAGTAAGTTTTCGAACTTTCTTGACGATAGGATAAACTCTCCAGTTTGGGAAGAAAGGTAATTTTTTAACTAGTATCTCTTGAACTGATTTCCCGGTAATATTGATAGTGTCATGAAAAAATAGTGCGCACACTTTGCTAAGTAATTTAAGTTCCCGTGAAGATGATTTTAAAATAGATAACATTCCTGGTGTTAAAAAAAGTACACTGGCGGAACAAGGTGGAGGATCTATAACATGCGATATTTTTGCTGTACGTACTGTGACGTCACATTGTTCTAAGCGTTTCCTGACTGTATCTACTATTTTTGATCCATCGTAATCGTAAACAAGCAAAACTGAAGAATCCATGATGAAGTATATGCCAAATACGTATTTTATTATTTCTTCCTAGAAAATAAAAAGTTGAAATACTCACATCGATGTATACTGGAAAAGAGATGTAGTGCTCTCATTGAAATATATCATTTACGTTCTAGCTTGTTATACCATTTAAACGTTAGAAATATTCGATATAAAAAGAAAATAAGATAAATTTAAACAGATCCAAAGGGTTATAGGGAGGAATATAAAAAGATTGCTCTCAAATTCATTCTAGATTTTTTATTAGTAACTATTAATGTTTAAATTTAACTTACTGACAATCAACTAATTGGGTTCTATAAATGAAACATGTAGATTATTATATTTTAAAGTCAGAAGACACGTTCCTCGAATCTCTGTTTTTGCATTCCTTTGTAATACATGTATACCAAAAATATAATATATAATTATCATTATATTTTGATTTCTATTCAGAATGTCTGAAAAACATATAGACAAAAAATCATGATATCAGCAGTTCAAGCAATTTCTAGCAGAGGATTATATAGGATATATCATCCTCAAGAATATTGCACAAATGCCTGGTAATGTACCCCAATTTTTGTAAGGAAACTTCTTAAAGTAGCAATGTTTTAATCACAAAATCTTGAGAAAAGTTATATATTTCTGAGGAACGTGTCGTCTGACCTTCAAATTGGATTTTTGTTGTTGTTAAAATATATCTATCGTCACAGCACCTGTGTTTGAATCTGCATATGAAGTCTGGGGTGGGTTTAAGAAGCAAGATGCTAATTAAACTATTAGATATTCAAATAAAAGCTGCAAGGATAAGTAAGGATTTAAAAATGTTTTTTAGCACGTTATTTATATCATAAACAACGTCCTTTCATTATTCAAACAATATGGCGGACAACTTTGTTCATTAATGTGTTGGATATCATATTATTACTGTGAATTACAAATATACAAGGTTTCAGTCACTTTATAAAGGTTATCGAGGTTGTGAAAATCAATCATGTTCTACTTTGTTGATTTCTATATAACCCTTTCGTGATTTTTTTTTTCAAACGAAATTCGATATACATACTTACTTACAACCTGTTACACAGACACACATAAACCACCCTTTATCAGGTACAGTTATCGACATACTGCAACATTGACAGTAGATATGATACATCTAGCGTTGTAAGGCATCGATTTTCTGAATTTTCGTAAAAGCTTACCTTGCACGGGTACAACATACCAATGGACACACCTACCTATTTTAGTATGTTTCACCCCTCGAACAAAAGGTTTTTGCTGCTACCAAATAACTTGGTACACTCCAAGCCCAGTGTTCACGGTTGAGTTACTATGCCATTGTGTACATAATTATTAAACCTATCATTATCAATGATAGGTTAATTATAATCATGGACACAGCGCAAGGTCACTGAACAAGGAATGTTGAGTCTGAGGAACAGTCAGTAAAATCTACAGTATTATGGTACTCGGGAAAAGTTTACAGAATGTGAAGGTCATCTGTTTAGATAAATAGGTATGCAGGCTGTACAGCACAAGCAAGGTGATGTAATACGATACAGTAATTATATTTTCCACATTATTTAAATGTCCAGAGCCCACTTTCATTTTGCAATTAACTCTTTATATAATACCCAAATAACCCCGAGAAAAATTATGTCAACTATTCCCTGTAAGATTAAATTGAAAAAAAAAGACCTTGAAACTTTGTCAGAATGGATTAAATGTATCAGATGTGTGTTAAAATCGCGCATTAAAAGATTGAGAGGCAATATGAAAACCATCTATCCTTCTGTATTCAATTATCCAGAAGTGAAAAAAGAAATAGATAGACTACATGATCAGTACGTACTGGTCCCTGCTGACAAAGCAGGTAACAACATTGTCTTTGTTTGTAAGGCTCATTATATTAAATGTATTTTAGAGGAACTTGGATTTAATTCTACAAGTGGTAATCCAACTTATATTCATAGTTCCCTTTCTAAGGAAGAAATTCTTCAAAATCATATGTCAGTTTTGAATATTTTTAATATTCCAAACAACCAAAATGAATTCGAATTACCATATTTATATTGGATTCCGAAACTTCATAAAAATCCTTACAAACAAAGATACATAGCGGGTTCCAGTAAATGTTCAACCAAGCCTCTATCTTTACTCCTCACTAAGATATTAACAGTGGTGAAGGAGAAACTTCAAGAGTATTGTGCAACAATATATTCGAGAAGTGGTGTAAATCAGATGTGGATACTTAAAAATTCCAAGGAACTTTTGGAAAATTTGAAATCACAACATTTTATCAAAATCAACAGCTTAAAAACTTACGACTTTTCAACTTTATACACAACCATTCCCCACGATAAATTAAAGTCCAGGCTTTTTGATATCATTGACAGCTGCTTTTTCAATAAAAATGGAACTCGTAAATATACTTACCTTGTCATTGGTCATTTGCAAAATTATTTTGTTAGAAAACATTCTGATTGTACACACAAGTACTCTGAAGTTGACATTAAAAAGATGCTTGAGTTTCTGATTGACAATATCTATGTGGTTTTTGGAGACCAGGTCTTCCAACAATCTATTGGAATTTCTATGGGTACCAATTGCGCCCCGTTATTAGCAGACCTTTTTTTGTATTCATATGAAGCAGAATTTGTCCAAAATCTTGTACGTTAAAAGAAGAAAACACTTGCTGTGGCGTTCAACTCGACATTTAGATATATCGACGACGTATTGTCAATTAACAATGGCTATTTTCATTCTTATGTCGATACGATATATCTTGGTGAACTTGAGATAAAAGATACCACAGAGTCTGACTCATCTGTTTCATATTTGGATATTTTACTTGAAAAAGACGTTAATGGTAATCTAACAACCAAGCTTTATGATAAACGTGATGACTTTAACTTTTCAATCGTCAACTTCCCTTACTTATGCAGCAATATACCTTCATCACCTACATACGGGGTATATATCTCTCAGTTGATTCGATACGCAAGAGCATGCTCTACGTACATATGTATGTACAATTTCTAAAACGAGATAAATTATTGACAAATAAGTTGATGAAACAAGAATATCAGCTGTCTCGTTTAAAGTCATCATTTCGTAAGTTCTGTGGTCGATACAATGACCTTGTCAGCAAATACATTTTATCATAGAGTCAAATGCTGACTGACGTTTTTCATACTAATTGTTAGGCCATTATTTACACACTGAATTGTCGACGGATTTTTCCGTTATTTCCCGATCATGACAAGCGGGTGTGACCGGTCGGCAGGGGATGCTCACTCCTCCATGGCACCCGATCCCACCTCTGATGTTTGGAGGTCCGTGTTTGCTCTGCTCCTATTTTGTATTGTATAATGGACTTTTGAAGTTGAATACTGTTCGTTATCTCCATATATTTCATGTAGTATCAACATTATTTTTGTCACAATTATGTTTGTTTAAAGTCCCTTCGAGGATTTTTCACTCGTATCAGAGACAGATGATGCAACGTACCAAAAAAAAAATGGATTTCTGGATTGGTAAATATATTTGGACCTGATATGGTTGTAAATGATGCGAATAATAAATTTCTAAAATATTAAGAAATTGTTAGCTTTCTACGGTGTCAAAATTCTACCTTTCTGCAACCATCCGTATCAATGTATACAATTTTTGTCACTTTAAATCCCATTATTCTGAAACTTTGAATGAAAAATTAAAATATTTTAAATCAGTGCTTGTTTTAAAATCCGTTAAAATTAAAGATATTAATAAAATTAATATAAACGTTGATTGGACGAGAAAATTCCGGAATGAATAAAAAAGATACCGTTCCCTGGAGGTTTAAAAATGTTTTGACCATTTTAAGCCAGTCGGTCAGGAGGTGGCCTAATCACTGCACTACGAGGGCGACGACACCATTGAGAGTCTTCTACTTGATTTTAAAGTAGTGATCAAAGCAGTTGAGACCCTCACAATAAATGATAAAGAAATTCAATGCTCAGAAGAATTGTTGATAATAAGAAAGATAAGAGACATATCTTTGAGGAATTCCTTGATTGTTTTGAAATTTAAAAGCGAATACAGTCAAGGATTTTTTTTAACTGCATCTGTTAAAGAGAGAGAATTTCATCTAATGGAGACATACATGTATATGATACATTATTAAACTGCATGCAGGACAGTAGCATAAAGATATGCCCTATTAGACTGATTTAAGAATTGCGGACAATATAAAAATTTAAAAATATAAAGAGGAATTATGTTCCTAATATTACATATTTACAAATGATATGAGGGTCCTTCAGGAACATCTTTTGCTATAGCTTTATGGAAAATAGTTTGTGGGAAAATAAAAACCACTTTTAAGTGTTCCAAATACTAAAGATTTATCCTTTCTTACTAACGATTGAAAGGCAAAGATACAATAATAGTAAAATTGATATTGTTATGATCAGCTTGGACTCAGTTATGTACTTACAATTTAGGAATGTATGAACATGATGAACGTACAGGGTTTAAAAGACATTCTTGCAAACCTTTTATATTTGGTTTACCTCAACATGTAAGCATATCAAAGAATCTGGGGGGATAAGACGAGCCATGTGCCCATGCCCATTTTTCGGCTATGCAAGAACATTTATTGGAAAAAATCTCTCAATTGTTCGAATTTACTTAAGCATTTTAATGTTTACCGTAGTTTTCAAAATGATATTTATATTCTAAACAAGCTAAACAGTTGACTTTCATTTACTGTCACAAATGTCTAACATGGGTAAGGACTTCTATTAATTAATCTGCATATTGAGTTTTTACACTTATTGTGGAGATATTATAAAAATGTTAACATCGTATATAATGATAATGGTGATCTAGAAGCGCTTTTATTTAAAATAAATAAAACGGGAATAAAAGTATTCAAATATCTATTATAATTTTTATCCGGCATTTTAAATAATTTACTGTAAATAAGTTCATTACTACATGTATATATTTTATTTCCAGTGGAAAATATGTTATTCCTATAGACATTTTTTATAAAGTAAAACAAAATTAAAACCAAAAAAAATCAACGACAAAAAAAAAAAATCAGAGCATGACTCGAACACTTTCCTCAATAAACGTCCCTTTAAAGAGCTCATCGCTACCCACTAGACCACGGAGTCACACTAACATTTCCATTTAAATAGCATACAGTTCTCTATATTTAGCAAGCGTTTTTGGACTTAGAATTTTTTAAGACCACGGTGAAAATTTAAGTAAGTTAACTTAATTTTTTATGTAGAGTGGGTCTTCATACCAAATTTTTGCAAGTGTAAAAAGCAACATCTTTCCATTGCCTTTCATTAATCGTTCTCAAAAAAATGGTACGATGACCCACTCTATTTAAAAAATGTAGTTATATCATCCAATTTATGTCAGTTTCTTTGAAAATTGAGCGTGATGCTATTTTGTTGTGTTAATCAGAATCATTTTCGCTGTTACAGTATTCAGGTTTTGTCAAATTTATATGCAAATGGTAATAAGCATTACATTAATTCAACAAAAAGTGAAATTTTTGTAAAATGAATTTATTGATTTTTTATCGATCGTTATGTAGGCATATGGCTCGGCTTATCCCCCCAGTTTCTTTTAAATATCTACATACACTTCTCATTTCATTGGAACTTTGGATATTCTAAGAAATATTTATTTAATTAATGAAAAAAAAAGTTTAGATTAATTGTTAATTTGTTTCTTTAACGTCCCTTGGGAATTCTTCATTCAAACCCGGTGGAGGGCTGCAAATTTAGACGTCGGCACTTTGAGCAGTAAGGGATCTTTTTCATGCCAGCACCTACTGCGACGTGGGACCTCGGTATGTACGACTTCATCCGAAGGACCGGTCTCCGAGTCACGCAATAGATTTGAACTGGCGACTTAAGGCTCAACTCCTTACTCCGCGACTCTAGAGTAACCGCTCTAGCCACTATACCACGCGGTCGAATCTGATATTCGAGTAATATACTGGAACCAACATGATTTGCACATTATACATTATTATGTTGCCAAGTTTAACATCATTGGGTTGTTGTGCTCTTAGACTCTACTTAGAGCAAACAGATATTTAAAGTGATATAGTATTGCATATTTATCAAAAGAGGAAAATACTAGTACTTGGCACACAAATGATCTTTTATGCGTCAGATGAAATATGGAGATAACGAACAGTAATCAAGCTCAAAAGTCCCTTGAAACAATACAAATCAGGAGCAGAGCAAGCACGGTTCTCTAAAAGCATCAGAGTTGGGGATCAGGTGCCATGGAGGAGTAAGATTCCCCTGTTTAGCTGTCACACACGCTGTGTGCTCATTGTCATGATCGGGCAAACGTAAAAATCCGTAGACAATTCAGTGCCTAAATAACGGCCGAAAAACTAGTCTGAAAAACGTCAATCAGAATTTGACTTAATGAGAGATTGTATTTGCTGACAAGATCATTGTACCGACCAGAGACCTTAAAAATGATGACTTTAAATTGAACTCTTGATATCCTTATTTCATCAACTTGTTTGTCTGTAGCTTGCCTCGTTTTAGAAATTGTTCGTACGTGGAGCATGCTCTTGCGTATCGAATCAACTGGGAGATATAAACCCCACATGCAGGTGATAAGGGTATATTGCTACATGAGTAAAGGAAGTTGACGATAGAAATGTTGAGGTCATCACATTTATCATAAAGTTTTGTTGTTAGTTTACCATTAACATCTTTTTCTAGTAAAATATCCAAATATGAAAAAGATGTGTCAGACTCTGTGGTATCTTCTATTTCACGTTCACTGGAATATATTGAATTCCAGTCGACTTATGAATGGAAGTAACTATTGTTAATTGATAATACGTAGTCAATATATCGAAATGCCGGGTTGAAGGCCACAGCTAGTGTCGTCTTCTTATGTAGAGGATTTTGAAAAAATTCTGTTTCATATGGATACAAAACTAGGTCTGCTAATAAGGGGCACAATGAGAACCCAATTCTGACAGATTGTTGGAATTTAGACCCGATCTTCAAAACTATGAAGATATTGTCAATCAGAAACTCAAGCATCTTTTTGATATCTACTTCAGAGTTTTTGTGTGAGCAGTCAGAATGTTTTTAACAAAATTTATTTTGCAAATGACCAATGAAATGGTAAATAAATTTACAAGTTCCATTTTTATTGAAAAAAAAAAATAAAACAGCAGTCTATGATGTCAAAAGCAAATTATTTTATCTTATCGTGGGGAATGGTTGTACCCTATACAATATTGAAAAGTTGTACGTATTGATGATATTGATTTTGGTAAAATTTTGTGATTTCAAGTTTTCTAAAAGTCTAAAAGTTCTGGTATTCACATCTGATTTACACCACTTTTCGAATATATTGTTGAACAGTACTCCTGAAATTTCTCCTTCGCTGCTTTTAAAATTTTAGTGAGGAGTAAAGAAATTAAAGACGCTTTTAGGACATTTTCTGTAACCTGCAGATCCATAGCTTTCATAAAGAAAAATCTGGAGCTTACTATGTCATTATCGTAAAGCAATAAGACGGCGCTTTAATAATCAGTTAAAGTTCAAAATGCAAACGTTGAAGATGAGAAACAGTGATCATTCTGATAAATCATTAGTAATTACTGTTTAAAAATTGATGGTACTCAAACTCTTAAGTATCGAATCAGTTTAGAGATCTAAATACCGTATGCAGGTGATTGTGGAATATTGATACACAAATAGGGAGAGTTTACGATGGAAAACTGAAGTGTCATTCCTTTTTTTATGTAGTTTTCCGTGTAGTTTAGTTGTTTGTTGTCTATTAACGTTAATATAGTCAGTAAAATACCCAAATATAATCCAGATTTGGCAGACTCTGTGATGTCTTTTATTTTGAGTGCAATCGTCTTCTTCGCGCTTTTTTTTTTTGTTTATAACGTTTGTAGTAATTAATTTAAGATTGAGAATAGATCTGTAAATGAATATCTATCCCGGTGTTTTTGATATTCTTCTATTAAGCAAATATGTAAACAAAACAAAGTCAATAGCTGATCATGACAATACTTTATTCGCGTAAACGTACAGAAATGCATTAAGAGAGGAGGTAGGAAATATGATAATTTAATAACAAATTAGTAATTAATTTGTAATAACGAATGCTCAAATTGCTTATAATTCAAATCAGTTATTTCTATCTCTAATTCGCTTGTCAATCAACAAATATTTGATTTTTTTTCAACATTGTGCTGTTTGATGATTAATGTTTTTCGCACGAGACATCACGTCGTGCACACGACTTATTATGTAGTTTACACAAGATAAATATCCTTTGCACACACCTTGTTAGTATGGCACATGATAAAAAATCATATCTCTTGCGAACAAATGATTAAGTCGTACGAACGACATAATATCTCGTGCGAACGACACAAATTTTCGACATAAGGAGAAAAAATATATTTGCCTGCCCTAAATATGCTCTGGTAATAATCTTTACTATTTTTCTAATTTTGAATTTTTTGATTAGCAAGTATTTCTTTTTACGTCAATTTTTGACCCATGTTACATTATGCGAGAGACATATAATATGTACGATATTATATTACTCTGGTTATGCACATCTTGTGTGGTCCATTCATCCAAAATACTTTTGAAATACCTGATTCAAGTCAGTTTATGCAGTGATACTGATGCATACAGTTTGGGTTCCCAATTTAAAAATGTGAAGTTAACGTTAACCTTGGCCATAACTTTTGAACAATTGGTGCTAGGGCTTTCATACTTCACATGTGTATTCCTTGTGACAAGACTTTCTTATGATACCAACATCTTTGACCATTGACCTTGACCTTGGAGTTTGATCTAATTTTGAAAAACTTTAATCTTGGCCATAACTTTTGAACAGTTGGTGCTAGGTCTTTCATTCTTCACATGTGTATTCCTTGTGACAAGACCTTCCTTTTGATACCAACAATTTTTGCCCATTGACCTTGGAATTTGACCTACTTTTAAAAAAAACTTTAACCTTGGCCATAACATTTGAACATTTGGTTCTAGGGCTTTCACGTACATGTGTATCACTTGTAACAAGACCTTCCCTCGGGCACCATTTGGCCTTGATGTTTTACTTTCTTTTGAAAAACACAAACACATCTTGTTATACATCAAAGTTTTAAAAAATATGGTATTGACTTAAAGTTTTCAGCTTTAATAAGATAGTAATGACTGCTATTTGATACAATTCGATATACTGGTTGAATGATATTGATGTATCAAATATATGACCTAAGTTTCCATATGTGACCATTGCAACGAACAATTCTCTCTAATAATAAGATCCTTATAAGCGGGTATCAATTTTATTCACAGTGAAGTTAGATTAAGAGATCTTGATGTATTGATTAAGCTATTTGAATACTTAATATTTTTAGATTTAATTTATTTGGTAAAATTAATTGCACAGTAAATGATTGCTTTTAAAATTAAAATTTTTTAATTGCTTTTGAGGTATATATTAATCATTATCAAACACGAAAATCCGTTGCAATGGTCACATATGGGAGCTGAAGGTCTTAGGTTTCATACTTTTGTATCATTTAACGTGTAAATAGTATGGTATGAAATGGCGGTCGTCAAGTGGCATTTTTTGTTTTTTTCGTTCTAAATCTGGGACACCACTGTTGCAATGAAGTTGCGGACAAAGAGGTCATGGCGTTTAATCGTGTTGATGACCTTAGTAACTGTCTTAGGGATTCTTATTGTTCGCAAGATTACGTTGTTTTTAAGGAAAGAGGCTGTGTCTGGATACACGTATACACAGACATCAACGGCGGCATTGAGACATCCGGTCCGTCAATGGAGTAATATACCTGTCCACATTGTAGAGGAGCATCATGAAGGCAAGACATCTCAGAGGCTGCAAATTTGTCTTTTTCTGATTAGATGTAGTAATTACCTGTTATTACCTGTTACAATTTATTAACTGTGAATTCTAATTTATTTATTTTTTTCAATTTAGTTCTGCCATATTGGTTTCGAGCAGCTGATCATGGAAGAATTTCAAAAGGGGTTACTCTAGTTAGTGTCTCAGTTTTTTAAAATAGATAATTATTAAATATTCTTTAAAATACATACATAAAAAGATTTGTTTTAGAAAATTCAATTTTTAAGATAAATACGCTTTATACATTGAATTGATAGGTTCACATAGACGGACACAGCGACATGGCTTCTAATTTCTATTTGGATGGATATCCATTTTTTAAATGGCCAAAGAATCCCCAAAACATCAACATAATGATGCAACGCAACGACGGGTTTATAACGGTATATACTGTTACTTTTTATCAAAAGTATTTTAAGATCAGTTTGCGAGGAAAATCTTGCATGATCATGATATTTCAAAAGAAAAACATATACATTTGATCACATAAAACCAATGATGCGTTACATATTTCCCCTAAAACAGGCGGCAGCAATGGCGGGACTGATCGGAAACGTTGTCTGGATTTGGCCAAAATGGGACCAGGTGAACCACAATGACTCCAAGACATCTGGGACACTCCAGTTTGGCTGGACGATTACTAGACAGTCCAAAGTAGGTACTGACAAAGCGTTCTGTATGTGTTTAACAGAGAGCATACAGCAGCAAAAATCCTGCATGTTCACGTCTGCTGATGAAACCGATATGGAGGTGCTCATGGAAGAGGATGCATGCATCATCAAGAGGTCTATCCATTATACAGAAATGAGGGAAGACTTGGCTAGGGAATACTTACAATCGACCCATGAAAGTTTTGATAATATGATACTTGACATTGACGAAGATTTTTTCGGTTGTGAGTATGCGTCACAACCTCTCTATGACCTCTCTGTTGATTTGAACGCGTTGGATACGTATCTTTTTCAGTTGTTCTGTCCACTTCATCAAACTGGAGAGGCTGTATTGGACAGATATTTAGCAGAGGTTATTGATTTTGTAAAACGGACAAAGTGTATATCTGAAAACAAACCTGAGAATTGTGACGGAAAAACTATAAGTAACACGAAACAGTTTTTCCTGAGGAAAAGAAGCATTTGGCGTCCTTACATTTGTAAAACCACGAAGAAAGAGAGAAGCTCATTTATCGATGGAATAATTGAAGAACTCTTCAAGCTAAATTTAAAACAATTACATGCTGTACAGAAAGTCGGATTTTGTCTTTCTACAACACGAAAAACCTACCAACCGATTAGTCCCTCCCTCTTCTCCATTTGCAAAGGAGCTAATTCTCCAAATGAGACAGCTGTCACGGAGCATAGAACTAACCCCATAGAAGTCAGCACCCGGGGCCAGTTACTTAGCAGCATTCTAAATGTATTTAAGGAAAGTCCCCCAAAGATCATCACCGTTTGTCGGTCTGTTCGTGATGGATATACCCCCAGACAACATTTCGTACAGATAGAAAACATAATCTTAAATTCCATCCGCAAAAATTATCGAAAAGCCTTCATCCATTATGACAAGGGACTGCTAGGTGGAAAGAACGGATTCAAACAAAGTAATTTCTGATATTAGAATCACGTCTTCCAAGTCCTTGGTATACTCTAGCACTGCTCTACGCTGTAGATAGGAAAATAATGAATGAACAAATGTCAGATTATAATGAAAGCAAGCACATGTATAATTCAAAGAAAGGATCAAGCATACATATACTTTTATGTATATATAGTGTTCCCAGAAAATGTTGCAAATTATCTATAAAACATTTATCTAAATTGTTTGATTAATAACATACAATATAATTTAGTGTTATTATTTTATATTTTGACAATACCCCTTTATTTCTAATGATACATGTAGTTTTCTTGGATAGCCTCCCATTTATTAAGTTAATATATATATATTTCATGTTCTCTGCTGATGTTCAAAATTACTGCTATTGAAAAGATAATGAAAGATATGTGTTAGTAAGGGACTGTTACATCTGGTGATACGGTATTTCTGAAACACCGAGTTTTTCATCGTCTATACTTTGTATTGTGTGATACATAAAATAATAAAAAGAAGAGGAATTCAGTTAAGAAAAACTGTTTGTATGCCTATTTAACTAACATTAACAGGTCAAGGAAGGCTTGGATATTTGCTCAATAAGAACAATACTAATTATAGAAAAACGGGGTTTAATTCCTAGTCCTACCAGCTCTTTCCCTCTGCCGAATTCCTTTCCTGTTTCCAATATTTTGTCCCACATTAATCAATAGTAGACAATGAAATACTCAGTGTTTCAGAAGTATGGCTAGTTTGACAATTTTTTATAATAAACATCTACAATAGGCTTTCTTTTTTCAAAAGCACTCATTTTGAACATTAGCAATCAACCGGAATTATACAAAGAAACGATAAGTTATTCATGCTTATAAAATAAGAAAGTAGCAAGTATTGTTATGTGATTAAAAAAAACTTACTTCAAACTATAAATATTTACTTTAAAATATTTTGGGGAAAAACATTTCACGAAAAAACTGTCAATTTCTGAGAACACTGTATAAATTACCACCAGCGAGGCTTATAAAAGTGGTGCTATTTATTGTTTAGTTTTATTGCATGCTTGATAGAACGAGACGACTACTTTTTGGATGTATGTTTTCTTGGTTACTGTCGCAGATTTGGGTATATGTGAAACATTAATTATCATTATTATTATCATAATCATCATCATTTGTAAATGATATTAAATGAATAAACTGCTGAGGTTAAAGGTCATACATGCGTAATAAACAATTTACAATTATAATTCTCTTACTGTGTTTATCCTGGACTGACGAGAGAATAATTCCCTGTCAATATCAAAAAAAATACAACAAAAACAAATATCCTTGAAATATCTATTAATATACTCTTCAGGGATGGGATTGTATAATGCAATTTACATTTTAAGAATAGTGGTATGTCAGTGGAAAGTAAAAAAAAATATCAAGATTACACATCAACATTTTGTTTCATTTGTGCCTCTGGTGCCAGGTATGCTGGTAGCATTTTCAGACCCAAACTTGATCCATGTTTTTTGCGGTTTTGTCATTATGGATCTCCTCTTATCGACATCTCTCACGGATAGCGGTTCAATTCTCCGCTTTTTACATGGCAACAGACTGGCAAAACTTTTTCGGAAGTTTTCATTCATGAACGCATAAACAACGGGGTTGTAACAGCTGCTGCTCAAAGCCAGGCACTTCAGAAATGCTTTCCACTGCAAAGTGACATTTGGTGTCATGTTGGATGCCTTCTCTCCAACAGCATTGAACGTTTGAATAGGAAGCCAGCAAATAATAAAAAGTACCATCACGGTCACTAGCATCTTTATTGCGCGTTTTTTCTGTTTCAGACGATAAGAGTCGCTAGCTTTCACTGTTATCCCTATAGGTCTCCTTCCCCATAACTTAACAATTATAATTGTATAAAGAATCGTCATAACCAGAAGCGGAGCTACAAAAAGGTTCAGAAATGGCATCCACAGCTGGAAAAACTCCATTGTCTTACTGGTGATCAGAGGTAGAGTGCAAATATCATCCACAATTTTGTCGCAAACGTCTTTCACTTTTATAAGCTCAAAATAGAAAACTTGGGGGATGCCTGATACCAACGATGTTACCCATACTGTGATCAATAAGGGAACAAGTCTTGTCGAAGCTTGGAAAAACTTCACTTTTAGAGGATACACAATGGCGTAAAATCTCTCAAATGCTATGCAACATAGAGTCAATGAGCTGCAGGCCACACAAAATGTCGTAATGCAGGGGACAATTTTACAAGCAAAGGCGCCATACTTCCAGTAGGTGGATATTACGTTTCCCATGTTAATTGGCGTGGCAATTAAAGACAGGAGGAGGTCGCTCACAGACAGTGACAGAATGAAGACATTGGTGACGGACCGCATGTTTCTGTTGCCACACACAGTAATGAGAACCATCAAGTTTCCAACCAGAGAGACAAAAATTATGATGGAATACAGTACCATCAGAAGCGTCTTCGAGGTCTGTGAAATCTCTGGAGTGTCTACTTTGCTATTATCAAAGACTTGAAAAAACAGTGAATCACACATCACTTTGCGCAAAAAGAAATTTCCTCTTGGAGGGGCACAACACATTGCTTTCAATCTTTGAAAATTCCATTGGTAAGGAGTGTGTGTCGTTGTTAAATTTGTCACAGTGTCATTTAGTAATGACTGGTTAACATAACTTGTAAGTTCTGTATAAGAAGGGCTTGTAGTTGAATTTGCCACATAACTTGTAAGTTCTGTATAAGAAGGGCTTGTAGTTGAATTTGCCATGGTAATCTTTGAATAAGCTGGTACACGGAAACTAATGGTCTTTTATACCAATCATAGATATGAATGCATCAAGTACTTCGTTCTTAACGATCAGGACTTAATCAAAATAATTGCCGTTTCTTTGTCGTATTATTTCTACGTCATTATTGTATAACGATTCAAAAATTTGCATCATGTGATCAAATGCCTTCAAGAAAGCAAACAGTAACATGTGTATTGGACCGGGTTGACTTCCGATAAGGCATCGGTGCGGAAGTTTCCTCCAAGACTTTGGTCAACAAAGCAATCGCAGGCAATCAAGAAGGGCCCATCTGCTACCTGGTTTCCATGTCAGGTGGATGGTAGTACTTTTATTTATCGGATTAGACCAACCAAACTTAAGAAAAAAATTTAAATCTGAATAGTATAAGGATGCAAGAATTTTCGATATCCATTACCATTTTACTCAAAAATCACTTACATTAAGAAAAAAATGAATGCTTGGATATTTACTTTTTTGTTGAAAATCCCATTGGCAACCAACTGTGAACTCAAAGAGGGATTTTTTTTTTTCTATCTCATTCCAGATTAGTTATATTTGTCATTTTGTAAATTTTCAATTTACCCGATGCCAGTGAAAGAACTACATGTATTTGACAGTCACATATCTAAATACAAGTAGCCCTAAAACAAAAATGAAATCTGATGAGAGTTTACAATATGACGACATAATGCCACCAGTAAAATCAAATTTAACATATGAAATATACAGTTTCAAGCTGTAAATTTGAATTTACTGGGTAGATGTAAATACAGCATATATATAAGATAACTAAATGGAGGTACAAATACAAACCCACAAGACTAATTATAAAGTTGTAATTTTTTTTAATATGTTCAACCCAGTAAATCAAAAATTTACACCATGATTTCCATACAGTAGTCTGTTCTGATCTCTCCATATGATGTGAACATTGTAACACACTATAAATATCTACATATAGTTGTCGGGCGTCTCCAGCCGGGGTTAGGCAGAATGATCCTGCTTTTATATGTTGGGAATTTTCTTCCGGTTTCTGGGTTGCTTTTAAATAATCTTGGTGAAGAATGTGTAACAAGACATGAGTTTATGACAGTGATCGCTAGTTTAAATTCATCAGTCGTCAAAGGTATATTTTAAACTATACTAGTATTTATTTAAGGTATTCGACGTATATAATAATAGAGGGCAGGCGCGTAGCCAGAATAGAATTGATGTGTACGCAGAGAATGGCAGGGGGTTGGGGGTCTTGAGCCCCCCCCCCCCAGTTGTTTTAGGGCTCTGGTCAGACACGTAATATAGTTTTTGCCAGCCAGGGAAAAATTACAACTTTAAAAATTTTGTCAAGCAAGGACGAAAAAGGAAGATTGTCAAAATTCGAAGTCCTATTTCTTGTGTGTGTTTGTTGAGGGGGGGGGGGGTGTCCATCTTTCATAAACCAAATTTTTATTAATACATTACCAAATTACCATGATTTAACAATGGTGCAACAAACAGTGGGGGTCCATCCTTTTAATGTACATTTTCAATAGTAAAAGGTTAGGTTTTGGAAATAAGTAGGGGGAGGCTCCCCTGACACTACGTGCCTGCTGGTGAGGGCCAAGAAGCTCCGGAGTTTTACCAAATATTTCATTCATTTTCTTTAAATATAAAAATTATACCATTTAGTTTTTGTTTAGGAAATAAAAGACAGAGTAATTTTATTGTTTTAACGAAAATTAATATTCCATGGAAACTTATTGTACATATAATTGACACTAAAAATTTAACCGATATATTAATTGGTATCATATAATCATTCTTAATGTATAAAAACACGTATACAAAATTTTAATTATGAACAAAAAAAATATCGTATTGTAAATCATACTAGTAGATTATAGCATTCAACGATGTGGCTGAAATTTATTTTTTCAAAGATCTTTAAAAAAAAATATCAATGTATGATAGAACAATGACAAAATAATGAATGATTTATTTGGATTTGGCAGTTATTAAATAAAAGATTTCAAATTTTATCATACAGCCATGATAATTGAAAATTTAAATCGACACAGTATGACACAGAATAAATTGAAACACGAATATTTGTTGGATGGTACTGAAATTTTTTTCTCCGAATAATTCTCTCTTCTTTTTTTTCCCTTATCTTTTTTTTCACCTTTTTTTTGGAAAATGATGTGTACGCACTTGCGTATTTGCGTATAGGCAGCTACGCGCCTGGAGGGATAGCGATGTTTGCTTTTTTAATTTCAGTATATATTCAAATTAAAAAATGCATAAAATGAGTTTAAAAGATGATAAATAGAATATTCTACCGTTAAAATGATAAATATCCTACAGACACGTGCGGTTTAAACTGTGGTAGGGGCGTGTCCCGAGAAACAGGTAGATTATTCTAACTAAAAAAGATGATAGCAAAAAATATGAACTAAATGAAATGTATGGATAGAACCCTTTAAATTACATTCAGTGTTAATTATAAGAGTCATCTCCCCTTGAAGAATGTGTAAAAATAGTTTCTTTAAAATTTTCAAGGTGACCTATGGATTTTAATTTATGATATTATATAGAATCTCTTCACCAAATGCTTTTTTTTTCAATTATTAATTTCTGCATATATATATATATATATATATATATATATATATATATATATATATATATATATATATATATATATATATAAATATATATATATATATATATATATATACACTATTCATTCTAAGCTAATTTTGAAAAGAAAAGTCTCTTGATAAAGCCTTTTGCTTTGTTCTATGTAAAATTGCACATTTTCCTTCTTTTGACTTTTTTTTTAAAGGAGATAATGATTTTGCTATTTATGGAATTATTTCCTAAGATATACTATGTCATTTTAAACTTTGAAAAATACTTTTGATGAGCTTTTGAACAAATAGTGCATGAAGAAAAAATACATATAAAATAACGTGTTTTCTGTCAATTAGAGAACCAGAGGTCCAATGTAGCCTTTGTAGCCGAGTTATCACACAGCATTAACAATCCTCCGAACGGGTTCCACATCATCTTTGATAAAGTAAAATTAGACATTGGTGGAAACTACAAGGCCACACACGGCATTTTTGTCGCTCCTCATCCAGGAATTTACCATTTTGCTGTTGAAATAACATCTCCGCCTCAATCCTCACATCATTCTTTGCACGTAAGAATAATGAAGAAGAATCAGCCGGTCGCCTTGACGTTTGCTGACGGCAATACTCAACAATGGCTGCGACGAACTGGCTCAATCATTCTTCAGCTTGACACCGGAGACGATGTATGGTGCCAGACAGAATTCATTAGTGGATCAAACACAATAGCAGGTGCTAATACAGGGGACTCCTACTCCATGTTTTCTGGATTTATTGTACACCCATTGTAAAAACACTAAAACTATATACATTAATTTAACGTTTTTTTTTCTACACAATGTCACTAACAAACAAAAAAGAAAAGAAATTGAATTTCGACATGAAAACAAGTGCATTAGAACCAGTTAAAAACGTGACACTACTTCTATGGTTTGGGATAGTGAAGTTGCTTTCCTTGATTTTTTTCTTCTGATTGTCAATGATTGTATGTTGTTTTACGCCCCGTTCCACAGGTACTTGTGGACAGGACCCCCCCCCCCCCCCCCGAATATACCCCACAGGTCAAAAAATATTTTTTATGTATTTTTTTCATAAATTATTCTTCTAGTACACATTTACAATGTATTCCATAAGAAAAATCAAAAAAACAACGCAGAATTAACGTTTTACTAAAAAATCATACCCACGGTATTATAAAATTTTAGACCTTTACTCGGCACTCATGGCCATTGAGCAGTGAGGGTTCTTTATCTACCGTGACACGGGGACTCGGTCTTTAAGGTCTCATCCAAAAGACCCGCAACTTTCACTTCAAAGTGCCGAGCGCTTGGCGAAGGAACAGTTGCTACCTATTTTTTTATCGACTTAGGTCAGTCGCGGCCGTGATTCGAACACACAACCTTCCGAAAGTTTATCTTTACCATAGTAGAAAACATAGACAAGGAATTTAATACACGAAAACAAGTATAAAATTTTTCTAGATTTTCAACAGAAAAGAATCATTACCAGAGGATTTTCGAAATGGAAATTGTTCAAAGTTCTGCTTATAAATGCAGTTTCCAAGCTATTGTACTCATTCGATCAGATTAAAAATCTACTCTAGTTTTGTTGCAATTCGTAGTAATTAGAAAGAACATGCAGAAAATGACACCTTGATTATATTCCCAATACGTACATGTAGCTGTAAAAAAAAAAATGTGTATAATGTTCAAATGATTACTTCCAATTGTAACACAGCTTTTTTTTAATTATAAGGAAATGAAAATCGTAACGCTCGTGGAGAAAAAAAAGAATAATATATTTTGCATACTATAATAATTTTCCCTCTTAGAATGTTTTAAATGAAGTTAAAACATGATTGTGACGTAAACCTTTTGTTTGTGTTGTCTATTCTATAGCTTAATGTTGAGCTAACTCCCCAAACAATCCATTAAGTCACCTGTAAGTATCCATTCTTTTTGGAAAACTGTCCATTCTTTTTAAGAATGGACAGTTTCTTCAAAAAGAATGGACAGTTAAAACAAACAGAATGGAGAGTTACAGGTAAACTTTGGAATGTGTCCGAAACGAAACAAAAACAAATACATTATATACGATTTAATTTACATGTAAATAACAAAAAGAACACGGAGATCTAAGTTAATCCAGAACACAATGTCTGCACAGCATCCGCTCGATTTTATACTTTTGAATCCATGAATAATGCCCATTATTTCAATACACAAAACTGAATTTTCACAAAACTTGAATTTAAATGACACGATTTCACATTTGATTTAAATTTCGAAAACATCATTCCCTTGAGAAGAATCCATTTTAAGAGTGAAGTACGGCTAATAATAAATCCACCACCCAGAAAACAGTTTGCACCATGAGCACAACACTGCTTCCGTAGGAAATAATTAAACTTGAAACATTTCCTGATTTGATTTAAAATATATTTTCAGGTCGATATTTGGCTCATGGCAAATCCAAGACTCAGAACACAATTTGCATCTCACCATAACACTGCTGCAGTCTATATATCCTCAAAAATTGAATCAAATAAAACATTTCCAGATTCGAATCTGTCGAAGAAGAAATTCATTTTTGGGTCAAAGTTTGGCTATTATTTTCTTTTACTCTTACTATTCTCTGTTCCATGGTCCAACTATCACTGATTTTGTGCATCTTTAAGTTCATTAGATTTTGCTTCTGTCATATACTCTCTCCATCGGAGGAAAACATGCATGCCTTTACAACGCAAACTACAAACTGATTTTGAAGCATCGTATCCTTGTATAAATTCTAGTATCCCCCCAAATCCACCTGTAACTGTCCATTCTTTAGACAAAAACCTTTAATTGCATTTGAAAACACAATAACTATTCAACGAATTACTATTCATCCCAGCTTACCTGTGACTGTCCATTCTGTAAACAATGAACTTGTCATTGTAAATGTGCTACCTGTCATATCTGATACCAGAAATGTACATTTTTTATTTAATTCTTAGAACAAAGGAAATCATGTTTTAAGTAAGAGAAAGGCCTTAAACTGTCCATTCTGTGAGAGAAAGAACTAATCTCGGGCCTACCGCCCTCGATTAGTTCTTTCTCTCACAGAATGGACAGTTTAAGGCCTTTCTCCTTTACGTAATTTCAAAAAGTCGAACGGCACACGGTTCAAATGTCTTTTAAATTTTATGCTTTCTTGAAGTAATTCTTCGGATGATAGAAGTTTTGGTGGTTAATAATCCATTTCAAATAATAATAAAAAAAAACAGCTTAGTAAGTATCTATAACTCCGTCGTTTACTCAAAGTTCTTGTAATAATGTACGCAGAGTAGATGTCTGTGGCATAAAGCATATTCAATCACCTGAAAAGTTTTACGGCCATGTTGCTGAGATTTATCTGTCAGATTTCAAACACAGGGCTCCACAATGGAACATCTTTCAAAAGTTAGCCACCCCACTTGACACTTGTTCGATCCTTTGCTAAATTTTGTTTTTGCAACTAAATAAAAGTCTGTGGGTGTCAGTTTCTACACATGTCCTTCCCTCTAAATGTCATATCATATAATTCAAATCTATATGGATAGACAAGACAAAAATGTGTATCTTAATTATTTTTATTCAATAAATTAGACGCAGAGAACACGTTGGCAGTGATGTTTCTGATCAGTCTTAATTATAGCAGTCCTTTGAGATATTCCATTAGTTTATTACAGTATACTGATGTCCGGTGTTTGTGTTTCACTTCCTCAACCTCCTGAAGTAACATCGTAGGGCAGATAGACCCAGATTTCTTCAGAACTTCTGTATAAAATTTAAAAAGAAACTAGTATCATGGTCACTCAACAATCTAATTAAAATCAGACCTCTTAGATCCGCGCCGTATAAACTCTGCGTAAGAGTGTATACGGCGTGGATCTAAGAAGTCTGATTTTATTTATATTGGGTCACTCAATATCAAGCTTTTATAACTAATAAATGAATAAACTGATAATAAGTGCTGCAAACAGGGTTATTTTTGTTTCATTTTATTATCGCCCTTTCATATTTGCAAGCAATTTTGCCCGTTTTAAATTCGCTCAGTTACAGTACTAGTTATGTTTAAGAAATTATACTGTCTTTGATTTCGCCCCATCTTAAATTAGCCTACTTGTGTCTAGCGCGAAAAGGGCAAATATAAAACGGAGGTGAAAATTTCCCTGTATACAGTAGTTCTTAACATTAAGTAGGATTAATACTTGACCACTACAATGATACTTTTAAAAATATTAAATATAATGTTTTCATCAATCACCTAAATTAGTTTTGTACATGTATTTATAAAATTAAGATACCATATTTATATAATTATATCATAGGTAAAAGGATACTTACCTAATATTGCCTCTTGTATTTTTTGCTCTGGGTCATCTAGATGAACCAGAAGTCCTTTGAAAATTGCCTCTAAATGAGCTCTATATAATGTGACATCGTAACCATTTTCAAAGCAATCAAAATAAGCCAAAAACGTCTTGGAGACAGTGATTCTGACTTCATCACTGCTGTCATCTAAACGTTTGAGAAGATCAGGATACATATTGTGCAGTCGATCTTGACCTAATTCTGCACCCATCAAATCAAATAATCGGGTCATAACCCGACAACAAATGAGTCTTGTACTTTTGTTGTCATCATCCAATGTTGTAATCATTTGTGTCAAGAGATCTTCAACAACAGAAGATAGCTGAAATGGAAACAGTATTTGATGGGCAATGTGTCATTGCTGTTAGTGAGTATATAACCTTTTCTAAACTAATGTCCTTACCTTCAAAATTCTGACTCTGACAAAGAGAATTGCAGTACATGTATCAGTAATCTAATTTACAATTGATTTATAATAAAATATATTTAAACTGATAACTAATAACTACAGAGTATACACATTTATAAATACAATATAAGCTGGTACAAAACTGTCTATTTAAATTTTTGCTTTATCCACTAGTACCTGCTCAGATGTAATTTGACTAATACATGTGGACACTACTTAATTAAAGAGCATTTGATACAGAAATATATTCTAAAGCTTGAAACACACTGACCATTTCCTTACTGAGGACTCCACTCTGTAACAATGCCCACATACAGGAGACAGCGGTGGTTCTGATGGCCCCCGCCACTCGTCCAGCCTTCCACAGACAGTTAGGAATGATAATATCCCTCACAACTGTTACAGCAAACTCCCCAAACTTATGACAGGAGTCCAGTGTAGAACCAGAGTTCATTACCAGTCTGGACAGCAAGGAGAAGAACTTCAGTCGCAATTCCGGGTCCTTATCTGGGTCAAGGTTGATCACAAAAATTGGCACCACATCATCAAGAAGATCGCCAACAACAGGTCCTTGAAAGAGACAATATGATTCAAATTAAAATCTTATCAAAATCAGGTTTAATTCTTATGTCAGCCTAAATATTCTTTTATTTGTCATGAAACTGTGGAATCATCATCAAATTACCACATTCAATAAGCAGAGTATCAAACACCAGCCTCTCAGTGGAGTGAACAGACCACATCGTTACTGTGGCCTTCAGCTCCTCTATCAGTGGTCTGGTGTGTCTACTGAACAGTTCCTGTCTGGATTCCATCACTTGGACTTTATATAACTTGTCTAGAAGGTCATTTACCTGTAAAATGATGACAAAATAGTACTGAAAGGACATTAATGAACAGCGATTCCTTGCAAGTTGTGATTTCAATGTCTATAGTGCATTTTTTATTTAGTACTGTATATAGGGTTATTTTAGTCCTTTCATACTTGTTTTAAATTTG